GGGAAAAAAATAAGAACCAAGAGACTCATGTAATGGTACAAGATCCCAATGATGAATGTAACTGTATTATATACCTAAAATGTACCGATAAAGTTAATGGGGAAAAAAAATTTGTCTTCATCAAAAGATACCATAAAGTGTAAGAGAAGCCATGAACTTGGAAAAGATAATTGTAGTATGTATAATAAGAAAGGACAAAACCCCCCTAAAAATCATTAAAAATAAGACACAAATACACAGAACAGAGGGGTGGGGCATAAAACACACCAGGCATTTCATAAACAGGAAATGCAAGTGGAAAATAGAAATGAAATCATAATCTCCTTTAATACAGAAACTGCAAATTTTTTTCCAATACTGGGAATCGAATTCAGGACCTTGTGCTTGCCAGGCAGACACAGCGCCACTGAGGCACATCTCTAGCCCCAAAGGAACTGCAATTTATAATCTTGGTGAGATCATTTTTATTATTACACTGACAAAAATTAAGGAGTCTGGATCTACAGAACAGATGATTCTGTAGATTTGTATTACCACCTTGAAAAAATACTTTGGCACCATCTAATAAAGTTGAACATTGGAATACTCCACAACAGAGCAATTCCACTTCTAGGTGAAATTGTTTTAGTTGGCAAGTTGTGCAGTGGGTGTATGAACATTAATTTTATATATTCAGTACTTTTTGTACATAACAGATATTAAAATTTTCAAACAGGGGCATGTTGGCCAGTATAGTGGGTGCATGAACAGTAATTTTACATACTTACTTTTTTATATATGTGTGTGTGGTACTAGGGATTGAACTCCGGACCTTCACACTGAGACCCTTTAAAATCTATTTTGTGACAGGATCTCACTAAGTCACTAAGTTGCCCAGACTGGGCTCAAATTTGCAATCGTCCCTGCCTTAGCCTTCTATAGGGCTGGAATTACAGGTGTGTACCACCATGCGTGGCATATTCACTATTTTTTGCCTATACTACCAGATATTAAAAATTTCAAACAAGAGCAAAATCACACCATGGCAAGTCTCTATAAACTTAGGCTCAATAATAAGATACTGATGGCAGGTGACTGTGATCCTCTGAGCAGTCTGTACCTGGTTCTCAGCTTGTCACCCACAGATGCAGCCCAGTTCTGGAGCAGGTCAAAGAGGGGTTTTTCTTCCTGGTGCTTGGTGTATTGAGCCAGCAGTTCCCGAGCTACAACCTGTATGGAGAGTTTATTACACATCAGCCATATCTCAGAAATGTAAGGAGTCTTTCAACATTGCAGATAGTTAAGGTTTATTTACTATTATCAAACTTCTCAGAAGAAATCAAGTGCAAGACCCCATTCCAGCCTCCAGTTCCCATGATAAAGGTGTGGTGTTTACCTCATCTCTCCTGTGGCTGACTTCTAACTCATTATCTACTTCCTGCTCTCTCTCCCCTTCCTCAAACACTGCGCCTGGGAACAGGATTCAGTTGATGCATCAGATGGAACCCACTTGCCTTCCTTGGAGGAATCATACTAAAATGTGTAAATAAAGCAATCTATCGATCTCTACCCTCTGCAACTTTAAAGTCATAATTTGAACCTAAAATCCTGCATACTTTTCCAGGTTTCTTCAAAGATGTCTGTGGCTCACCCTCTGCAGAGGGAAGCTCTGCTGAGGATTTGCAACAAGTGCTAAATATGTGAGTGAGGCCATTGTGGCCCGACTCAATCCCCCCCCCCCGCCCCCGCCCCGCCACCTTCCTTATCTCCACAGCAGGAGTGGGGCTGGCCCAAATTGCTGGCCTACAGAATCACAGGCTAACAAATTGTTGTTGTCCTGAGGCCCTAAGTTTTCGGGTGATTTGTTACTAATCAATAGAGAGCTTTTCTTTCACCTATCAGCTTTAGAATATTCCTTCTTTGTTTCACATCATACAAGTTTTTATTTAGGTCACATCAAGTGCTATATATATTTTCATTCAACAGTATATCATCAGTGATATTTTTGGTTCATATTGATCAGATTCTATTTATATGTTTGATGGCTGTATAATATTCTTCATTTGGGTAAATCATAATAATTAAATATTTCCATTCATTAAGCTACTTAGGTTGTTTCCAATTCTACACTATCAGAATAACCCTGAAATCAATATATTCAAACAAATAACATTGTCCTTTTCAAATTACCTGGGAATAAATCCCTGTGTACTTGAATGTAGGAATTCTTAAAGAAGGCCACCCTGCACCTGAAAGGGATGCTGAAGACATACCAAGGCATCTTTGCCTGGGGGAGTTTTGTTAGCATCAGTGGGCAGAGCCAGGTGTGTAATGCATGGGACAGTGTCAACCAGGAGAGGATGGTGCTATACCCTCCTGTCAAAGGCTGATGCACGCAGGTTAGGAGAGCCCAGAGCCTGACTCAATTATACCAAATTGTCAGGTTCTCATGTGCCAGGCCTATGAAAGGATTAACCTCCTCTGCCCTCTTTAAAGGAGAAGTACTTTAGGCCAGTGCACAGTGACTCAACCATTCTCTCCTTTCTCATTGCCATGGAAATCTGAAGTGCTCCCAGTTGTGACCAGTCCTTAAGCCTGGGCCTCAGTCTACATTTGAGGCTGCCATGGTATTCTGTGTATAGATGTAGGCCCTGGCATGTCTTACTATGGTTTTGACTTTGCTTTATTATAAATTACTTTCCTTGAAGTATTACCCTGCATTTTTGAAATCATGACTTTAGATAGGTTCTATGATCCAAGATTTCATTTTAGGGTAGTAAAGGGACTCTTATAAAATATCTACCTATAATGCATTAGATCTAGTGAGACACAGAATTGCTGGATATGGGTCAAAGAACATGAACATTTTCAAAGCTGCTGCTATACAATGTAAGTGTGAAAATCGAACACTGCCAACAATGGGAAGAATGAACTGACTTTAGGATTAAAATGAAAATGATACAGCAGTCAAGTTCAGCTTCACTGAGAAATCACTAAATTAATATTTGCCTCATTTGGTTCTTGCTAATCTATTAAATTTACGGTGACTCAAACTCTATCTCCCTCTAGCTAAAAAAATGACATAATTCCAAGTATGAAACAATTGCTTTTCCTGACCCCCACCTTCCCTATTTTCTCTTGCTTTATTTTTCTCCATTGCACGCATCGCCGCTAGAGGACACAGAGCACAGCTTGTCTCCCGATGTGCGCCCCCTGCCGTCTGGAATGTAAGCGCCAAGGGGTCCGAGGTGTCCTTTACCCCACCAGGCAACTGGTGACAGAGTCACAGTTGAGGAGAAATTCTTGGATGAGTGGATGAATAAATAAGTTCCCTCCCTGTTTCAATATCTCATCTAATGTGTTCAGTCCCTAACTTCCTTCGACTTTGTCGCCGTTTCCACCTTTTTTATTTAATCAAATTAAATTGGAAAAATTAAATCATTAACTAGAATTAAAATTAGGATGATACAATAATCATGTTCCTTCTGACTACTCGTATCTGCTGGGCTGGATATTTAGTCGGACTGTATAGTTTTATTTTCTTCTGTATGTGTATTTTTGTGAAGTATTCGCAAGGGTTAAGTTAAAATAAAACCAAGGGATACCTTACAAAGTGAAAAAAAAATAATCATGTTCCAGTGCTAAATTTAAGAGAAGAGAGTGAGAAATTGGGTCCTGGTAATACCACAAAAGCAGATATCCCATTTGGAGTCTTTCCTCCTTATCTGAGTCATGAGACAAATCAACATGCTTTATAAAATGAGATTATTTTCCTGTCCTCCACCTCCTCCTCCTCTTCCTCTTTCTTCTCCTCCTCCTCCTTCTTCCTCTTCCTCTTCTTGCTTCCTTTCTTCTTCTTTTTCTGCCGCTGCTGCCCACCCTTTCAGCAAAAGATTGAATGATGGAAGCTATCAGCTCTCATGAGATTTGGAGATTGGGTACTGTATTTGACAAATTACTGAGGTGGCAAAGGTAGATCGGGCACCTAGTATACTCAGCGTACAATAAGGCTGTGTCTGTTTTTACTTCATAGATATGTTCCTGAATATATTATAATTTACAATGTACATGTTTTTTAACTTTCTATTTTAAAATAATCATAGATTCACAAGTTGTGCAATTAAAGTAAAACGTAAGGGTTTTCTCTAGCCATTCTGTAGAATCTCCCTAAAAGAAATCTGTTGGATAAAATAGTGATTTTCAAAGCCAGAAAAATTCAAGATCATTTTTACTCATTGAATCTTCTAGCTGCAGTAGAGATGTCATTATTTTAGATGGACCTCATGGTAGATCCTTTTTATAAATGTAGACATTAGTTTTGCAATATAAATGATTACATCCTCATGCACACCTGCTATTTACCTGTACCAGGTTTCCCTAAGACAACTTGTGATACGATTTCTTTCTAGATGGTTGTGAGTGGTGTTTCTATGGCCACTTACACTGGTCTCTAGTGCTAAGTGTGAGTACTTTACTTTTCCTGTACAACTGCTCAGGAAGTCTTTCTTAAGAGAACTCTGGGGTGATTGAGCAATCAGAAAAGCAATGCTCTTTTCTTTTAAAAAAGATCCCATGTGCAGGAGAAATCAAGTTAATCTACAGCCAGTATTTGGAAACTATGTGTGAGCAATTGTGTGGAATGATGACGTTAGAAACATCCATTTATAAAAAGTATCATATGCATCATGCAAGACCGATTATGTAACACCAATGAAAGTTATTTTTTAGGTCAAATTGCTTTGCAAGGCATCTATGAAACAACCAGCATTTCTGCACACCAAGTATTTCACTGATTTATGCCAGGTACACTGAAACTTGAATTAAAAAGCCTAACAAGTAGTGTTTCCTGCCAAGGCAGAAACACTTAGAGCCAAATGGAATGGAAAAGTACGATTCCTAAGAAAAAACTACCAGATAAGCATTCTGCATCAAGGAGGAGCAAGGCAAGAGGGCCGCACTAGGACCTGCACCAAGCAGGGTAATGGAGTCACCCATCATGGCAGTACCATGACATCAGGGGCCCAAGTCATGCTCTGAGGACTCTGCCTGAGGCAGGACTAGCTATGTGATTGAGGACCCCGGGCAAAATGACAATGAGGCAGACCCTTTGTCCAAAAGTTATTAAGAATTTTAAGATGGTGACACCAGAGCAGGAATCCAGCAGGGGCCTTTCTGAGCCCAGAGCCTGTGCCACCACAGAGGTCTCACTGAGGAAATTGGCCCTGGTCCTAGGGGTTCCAATGAGGTTGTCATAGAAAACACAAGACAGGGCTGAGGATTTAGCTCAAGAGGATTTAGCTCAGTGGTGCCGCTGCCTGCCTTGCAAGTGCGAGGTCCTGAGTTCAATTCCCAGTACCAAAAAAAGAAAAAGAAAAAGAAAAGAAAAAAGAAACACAAGACACTGTTAAGATTTAGGCACCCAAATATTGCATGGAACATACTTACACTAAGAAATTATTTGTTGTTTACCTTGAATATGAATGTACCTTTTGTCTTATATTTTCATTTGCTATATCAGGCAAACCTAGGTTCCTGAAGGGTGGTTTAGGGGTCGCCCAGGGGTGCATAGACCTGGGAAAGACAAAGTGGGTGTGATTGTCTACCAAACATGTTGGCTTTCTACTTCTCTGAGGAGCTGGGCATCTCACTAAAGCAAGGTGTCTTTGAAAATATTTAACTAGATGATATGAGAGGAGAGGAAGAGGGTGAGAGGGAGAGAGGGAGAGAGGGAGAGAGAGATATTAAGCATGTTGCCAGGGTCACACAGCATAGCCAGAAAGTGGATGAGCTAGGATTTAAACCTGGAGTCCATGCTCTTAATAATTCCACACTTAAAACTGTACCTACTGTATGTCAGGCTTTGTGCCCAGCACTGGGGGTACAAAAAAATGCAAGGACCCATGATATGCTGGGCAGACAGGAAGGAAAGAGAACCCAGTGTTATAATGTGTACAGATGACAAGACAGCTGTGGTTTCACACCCCAAATTTGGAGGCTGGGGGTGGTGGTGCACTAGTGCATTACAGGGAGTCTCCCAGCACCTCTGTCCCTCCTTGGTTTTCTTGTCCTCTCCCCCTCCCCCTCATCCACATACCCAGACCATATTACATGAGTCCTCTGCCACAGACCTGGCTCTCAGAGTCCACCTCAGCTGCACACAACAGCCCTGCCTGGAGCCCTCCTGGGCTGATGCATGTGAAGGAGGGGCTCCAGCTCTGGGATCTGGAAAT